TTGTCTGATTCCGTTGCAACTTTGTTATGTATCAATTTAGAGTGTCTTCTTTACAGACATTTAAGACATAAAGCCCTGGCCCAAGCAAAACGTCCGAAAGAACTCAGCGTGGCATTGTCGTGTTTTGAACCGGTGATCTGTTCTTTCTGTATATAAAGTGTATAAATTTTCGTTAACAACACCATTTAACCAATAAAACACAATTTATTTGATTCTGTTGCTGGTTCGTTTTTGTATCAATTTGGAGGGACTTCTTAGTAGACATATAAGACATCAATCTCCTATGCAGTGATCTCTCTTATCAGCTTAGAGATCTCTGCCATCACAAATATTTTTATCAATTTTTTGTTATATTTATATTTTTTAGCTTTTCAATTTATTTTTCATTGTTTTGTATACTTTTGATTATTTTTTGATAAACTATAACGAACGCAGGTACGTAAAGTTAAAAATAAAACAGAAAGAGAAAAATGACGTTAGGTTTCTATTTACATTTGAATTTCGACGCTACGTCATGTGACTACATCAGCATGTGACGGCTGTGAAGGCAGTGATTACAATTCTGCCAAGGGAGGTAATCACTGTGAGGAGTTTGATAAGACATAAGACAAAGCCATAGCGCAAGCAAAACGTTCGGGAGAACACTGCGTGGCATGTTCGTTATTTTAATCGGCGATTTGTTCTTATCTTGAACCAATAGTAATGAGTACCATATTTATGTCGCAAGCAAATGTAACACGATCGGAATGAACACGGTATCAAAACAAACATTTTTTCAAACATTTTTTTCCAATGTCGATATTGAAAAAGTAATATTATTTAACACATTTTACAAGCACAGTACTACATTGTACATGATTTGCAATATTAAAGTTTAAGTTTCCATTATGATATAAATGGTATATAGGATCGCATATGCATACGTCCCGGTTAATATTTATACATTGTATCATATATATCACCGTATATCCAGCAAGTTACTTGAAAAAATTATACTATCAGAAAAGAAATTCATAACAATTTAAAAGACAAACTTTTTATTCGTTAACAATTTTTATTGGTGATTTGTTTAATTATTTTCTTATCGATCTTTATCATAATGATTACAAAAAGAAAACTTTTTTATCAAAGGAAATTAAGTAATTTTAAAATGGGTTCATAAAAAATATTTTTAATGAACTGTTCGCCTGCAATAACACAAATCAGAGTAAAAGCAAATTTCCGGCCCATTCTTACCCATATGTGGGTTCATTTGCGAATTGATGTTGCTGCTGCGATGTTGAAACTTCGGTTTAAATTTCGTTTTGAAATTTTTAAACAGATCCAAAATATATGTGTTCAAAACTCTCTAAATAGGGAAGAATTTTGCAAACAAATTACATGCTAGTACTGAAAAGCAATATCTTTTCTGTAAATAGTTAATTTGCGATGTATATTTGGGGTAAATAATAAAACAAATCAACAAAATAACAAAATTGGCTTTAATGGATAGTTTAGATCCACACATATCAATACAATCTTTAAAACAGTAGAAATTAAAGGATAAAATTTGATCTTGGAATTATGTATTAGTTGTAGAGGTTTATGCATCAGCAATAAATTCCTGTAATAAAGATAAGATTTGATTCGTATAAGTATAATTGTTTAATAAGTAATAAGTATAATTGATTAGTTAGCATTAGTAGTCTGCTCTTCAATACTGGGATATTTTCTGTTATCAAATGATGATGATAACGATGATGATGATGAAGAAGAAGATTTTTTTAAAGAAATAATATCGGTCTCAGCAGCGTTTATCGGCTATTTAACACCGGTTTGGAGTTTTGATGCGTAGGTCTGAGTGGTTATTTTTTTGCATCAAAACGACAAAACTAGTGATAAATAACCGATAAACACCGATCAAAATGATATTATTTCGATTCTAACAAGGTAAAATAAGGAATATCACTTATGTTATTTTTTTCAAGCGGAAATAACTTCTGGTCCCGATTTTCGTATAACGCTGTTCGATTTCACACCCTACTGTTGCTTAACTATAGAAAATATTAAACAAAAGAAATAATACGGAAAAAGGTTATTTTATCAAGTTTTCAAAAATAAAAAATAACGTTTTAGAATGGATTGTATTGTGTTTACATCAGTGCCCAATTGATCATTCTTGTATGTTTGAAATGACGTCAGCGTTAATGAATGTGTTGTACTTAGAATTTCGTCGTTACGCTGCTTACGGATTGGCGCCGTTTTGTCAAACTATTTATTGACTGATATCGATAAAATCTATGGCGTTAGTGTATGTATGATATTATTTCGGTATTGTATGAAAAACATTGTAAGAACTAAACATATAAATAAAAATGTTTTTTTGTTGTTTTAAAGGGCTTTGTAAACTATATAATCGAGGGAGAAAAAATTACAGCCGCATATACAAGTATTCCCTTACCAGTGTTTATTGGCACACCGGTTTTTTTCTTCTTCGTCTATAATGACAAAATCACGAGGAGTGTTAGAACAGTGAATATAATAAACATTGTTTATGCAATGTAAGTTAACAATACACGAGCCCCACCATTAATTGATAAAGGTGAATCTCTTCCGTTATCAAAACTTTTTGAATATAATAAATTTATATTATAAATATTTTTACATATCATAATGTAATGAAAGGCGGAATTATCTTTCCGAAATTTAGAACGTAGGGTTTATTTAAACATCAATAAGTTGTGCATACATGTTTCACTTAAATTTTGATAAGATTGTTAATCTTCACAAACTTATACTAACACAAGACGTTTTGGATGGAAATCTGATTGTTTTAATTGGTGAAAAATGATGGCATAACTTTTGAAAATACAAACTACACGTTAAAAATAATGAGATAAACTGTATCATCTGTGAACAATCATTTAAGCTTTAGTATACACGAGTAGTTTATCGAGCTATTGTCATAGACAGGTAGGGCCATTTCAACTTCATCATCATGAATTCACAATTTAAACATCGTGAATTCCGGTTTTCAACATACAGAATTCACATATTCATGATTTCAGCTTCATGAATTCCCGATTTCAACTTCACTAATTCACGATTTCAGCTTCATCAATTCATGGTTTTAACTTCACGAATTCGCAATTTTAACTTCACGAATTCACGATTTCAACCTCATGAATTCACGATTTCAACTTCATGAATTCACGATTTCAACTTCACTAATTCATGATTTCAACTTCGTAAACTCACGGTTTCAACGAAGTTGAAATTATGAAGTTGAAATCGTGAATTCGTGTAGTTGAAATGGCCTAACCGGTCTTTCGTATGTATTTATCAATTGAAGGGGTCAGTGTAAGAAGGTACCTAACTCCAATTTAGGGTAAATTTGAGTTAGGACCTTTGTGATTTAAAAAAAAAACGTTTATTTTTGTGTGTTTTTTTTTTTTTTTTTTTTTTTTACAATAACCTTCCTTTGTTACTCATTTCTTTATTTTTAAGGTGAAAATGGTTCTCTTGGAGGAACTTAACAAAGGTCCTCACTCTAGAGGTGGAGTTGGTACCTTTGTTACATAAATTTATCCATGTTTTCTTGTCTTGAGGCGATAAGAAATTATATGAAAATGTAATTATACTTTGATTTTATGTAAATAAGTGCATGAAAATTGACAAAAACAATGGTTTTTTCTATGTCTTGTCAAAATAATTTGCAGAAATGTTCATTTGTCTGAAAATTATTACAAATATTTTATATGAATTTTGTGTTCATGGAGATAGAACCTTTGTTGCACATATACCATATTTATCCCTTTTTAACATTTTGCATAAAGACATTAAAGTCATAAAGATATTGTTTAGAGATTTTCGATACATCCATAACACAATGAAATTTATTGTTTAAGAGGAAATGTTTAAAGTCGAGCATTTAGGATGATTTAGAATGTTATTATTAATTGTATAAATATTTTACATTTTAGCGACAAAGGCATGTTTTGGTACCTTTTGTTTGATTTTTCGAATTAATAGAATGTATCCATTTTCTGAGATATTGAAACTATACAGCTAAAGCTTAAGCATTTTATAATATTTGTATCTTTGGTTATTTAAATGCAGTCTAATGAAAATTTGTTTGTTACAGTTCCTATATGCAATGTTTTTAGAGTTATCCATGCTTGCTGTTAGCACATGAAATATATATTCTAAATTATTGAGAAAAAAATCTTTTATTCTTAACCTTTATATTTGAACTGGTTTGAATGTTAACGTTTTGTTTCTTTCTATGAAGAATATATGTTTAAAAGTTCATATTGTTTTTGTTTCCTATAGTCAGTCAATTAATCAATTAGTTAATCAATCAATCAAATATTCAATAATTTATCAACTAAAAAATGTGTAACAAATGCAACTATACAGTTGATGATTTGTTTGATACGCCTTTTTAAGTTTTTTAAGCTTAATATTAATTTGCAAAACGATGAAGAGTTATATGATAACCTTTTAGTTGATTGAAAAGTTGAAAGATATGTAAATTTTAAGCCTAAAAACTGAATGCAATTATTTCAAAGTCACAAAGGTCCTTACTTCAAAGAATTTAGAACTGTTTATGCATAAGCACATTTGATAAATATAACTTTTCTTTAAATAAAAAGGTTAGAAATTGTGTAAAACATACAACTTTGGGTTTAAACGGTTTTTTTATTAATAACATTAGTATAGTATTAGTGAATTGACCCCTTCAATTGAGAGCTTACAATAACCATCTTTGTGCTACTTGCACAAAGTGCAAAAATGGTTTAAAGCGAGATATTAGCCTAGTTGCTTTCATATTTGAACACCACTCGTATTCGAGACAGTTAACGAAAACAAAAAGCCGAAAAAATAATATTGGGTACTTCTTTTTGTTTCATGAGGAAACAAAACAAAAGAACGGTTTAAAGAAGAACCAAAACAAAAAGCTGAAATATTTTTTTTATTTGTAAATTTTTATAATCTCATGAAAAAAAAGTTAGCACAATATATTTACATGTATATATAATCTCTTTAAAGCCCCATTATCATGTAAAATCGAGTAATACTTTTTTCTCTGTTAAGTACATTAACCAATTTTAAAAAATAAACGTTACACACTATCAGCGTGTCTCTCCTAAACTAATTTAATAATCAACATTATTTTTTGTCCAATCACATTGAAGTATTTTTCAAATTTCTGCTAAGTCTAACTTTGGTTAATGTGTACTAACTAAATAAAATATACTAAATCTGTTGTCTAACCAGTCTAACAAATTTCAATAATGCATTATATTAGGGAGGAGTTAGACTCTGAATTGTAAAATATCTATAGATTAGCAAAACAATGCCAACGTAAAAAAATTAAGCGAGGTCAGGTGTTTCTAAATGTGAGGATACAATCAATTAATTTATTACATAGATAATACATGTGGCGCACGCAGAGATAAATGATTACATACTAACTTTTTATATCCTTTTAACTCTAAGAAAAATGTCTGTTATAAATTGCTGACTGTTTTTTAACTTTATATTTTCTAGAAAAAGTAACCAAAACATTATTTTCTTTCAGTCGATAGGAATGAACTGCATTAGCAATCCTTGATATTAGAAAACAATGTTTATATTTTTGGCTAGAAAACTCATTTTAAATGGACCCCACCTGTAAACTTAAATTGACACACAGAAAAATAAAAAAAATCAACTGTTTTTCAAATGAGCAAATCAATAGAAATTTTAAATGTTAGTGTATCAATTAATGATCTCTAATGTATTTTTCTCAGATTTTTTTCCCAGATTTTTTATAGAAACATGATATAGGTACTGTAGATAAAGGTATACATTCTGTGATATTGCAGTAAAACATGTGCCTAATTATATGTTAAAAGGGCCATTTTTTTTAGCTTATATAAATGTGACATGTTAGAAACTTGACAAGGTGTAGACATCTTGTAGAGCGAAAGGGCGGAGCTATCGGTGTTTTAGAGAAATGCCTTGTTTTTTGGTTGAAAAAAATAATGTTGATCATTAAATAGGTTAATGTTTAATAATACATATTAACAAAAATAATTGGTCGCCTGCCTGCGGCAGTCTTGACCAATTATTTTTGTTAATATGTATCATTAAACACTAACCTATACGTAAAATCTCTCTCAAAACTCAAATATTTTCTGTTGAACCGATTTTGACCTTTAAATGTATAGAGAGTTTAATACAGTTTACATTGAAATTTGATACGTTTCAGTGTCTCGCTGTAGGAAAACATTAACTCTTTGTAAAGTGAAACTGTATGATTATTCTGACAGTTACATTTTCCTTTCCGTACTCTTAAGTTGTATAGCAGACTGGCGTTTCCATGAGTTTTACCCATGCCGGAAATTGCATCTGGCATGGGGGCTGCCAGATGAGTCCCGTGCCATACAACAATGTCATTTTAGGCATTTTATGAATGAACCGCGTTAAAATGACGTCATTTTAGAATAGGATGACGGCACTTCGCCGTTGTATATAGCCTCGTTAGCGCCCAATGGGCAGGGTCCCTCGGGATGAGTATTCCGATCTGAACTGCAACATATGACAGATATTATTAATCGGCCCATGATGATTATTAGTTTTTTTTTACATAATTTCTACATGAAGTTTGCTCTGGAATCCATATCATTTCCCGAAGACTAGATATTTCGCATTTTAGGACAAACATCATGAAAAACGTTATACAGTAAACTTCACTTATAGCGAACACGGTTATAGCGAACTTCCGGTTATAAGGAACAATTTATTTTGTTATTAAATATAAAAATATACGGTTATAGCGAACACGGTTATAAGGAATTATCGCTTATAAGGAACTCGTTTCTTAATCCCAATTTAGTTAAAAGTACAGACAAATTACACTTTTATAACTAACTCCAAATATCGGCTTTCCGTAAAAAGATACCGCATTTTCAACTTTCGTTTTCATTGACACGGATTAAAACTCGACCGAATGTACCGTTTAATGTTGTATGTACTTTAAAAAAGTTTTGTACTTTAATTGTATTATTAATATTAACCCTGTCAGGGTTATAACTGCCGGAACTGCTTTGTAAATATACCATTTAACATTTCTTTCCATGTTTTTTGCCTCCTTTTCATGCTCTTTCAATTTTGTTGTCGGGACTTTTGTTGAGGAGGTTGTAACAATATTGTTTTTCGTACTGTCGTTTGTGTTGCTTTTCGTGCTGTTGTTTGCGCTGCAAACATTTCCATAATGCTGCCGGTGCTTAGAAAAAGTTGAATCAGTGGTTCCGTAAAATTTAAGCGATAAATTTTTTACTTTGATGTTACCTGTTGGAAAAAAACACGTAATAAGAGTAAGGAAATTAATAGCTAGAGGTCTTTGAGCTATAACAATATTCCAAAATCTTAATATCATATGATAAATTAATATCTTATAAAAAACGATGAAATGCATATCACCATTACTTTTGGATAAATGCACAATGTTGTTCAATATTGAATTGTTTTATAAGGTGATTCGAGTTTTTTTCGGCAGTTTTCTCACAAGATATTGTAAAATGCCAATGCAGAATTAAGTTTTATTGTCATGCTTATCACTTTAGCGACATGATCACAAATTCATTCATTTACAGTATTCAATAATTCATTCATTTTGATTGTGATCAATGTGTTTGAAAAAGAAATCAAAGAATATTCTTCTTTAATATAAGATAACATACTTGCTGAGTGTTTGTCCTGGACATGCAACAGCCAAGTACCAAGTGGTTCCTCATCCCAGAAATGACAGGATAACAGTCGTAGTTTCTGTACATATACATATACTGACTTGCCCTTTAACAAAATTTATCGCAACAAAATTAAAGTATAGTTATTTTCGTACAAGTTTTAAGCAGTTTAAAGCCAAATCAATAAGGAGTATTATGTCTGAAAATATCATACATTACTTTATTTATCATAATTATTTTACTTACATTTCTTACGAACGCGTAAATAACAATACCATACTATATAAATGGGAAGGAGGGAACAAACTGAACAGAAAAATCGTTTACAGGTACGTGTTCTTATGGGGAGTTGTTCGGGTTTTCCTGCTGTTTTTATTTTGATTTTTTAGGGGTTTGTAATTTTGTGTGTGTGTTTCTTTTTGTTGACTTTTCGAAAAGTGTGAGTTACTATTAAAGTTTTAGGTTTCGCCATAGAAGTAATTATATAGTTAAATAATTGACTGAACAAAAGCGAAATCCATATAGAAATTACATACAACTTACCATTTCAGGTATAAAATCCATTAAAACAGATGTCGTTTTACCAGGCGATACTATTGCTATTTTTATTTCAGTTGATATTGCTTCAAGGTCCATTTGAACTTTAACATACTCTAAAATAGTCGGACATTCTAACCCTTGGCATTCATAACAAAACTCAAACGTCTGTGTGTGAGTTTGGTGTGGTCTGCAAAGAAAAAAAAAGGATAAAAAATGTCCATTTACTATAGCTCTTTCATACACCTTTTTATATAATATTTAAAGCCTGAATCAAAAGCCTGACTCATTTTTAGACTTTCGATATACGGCCCATACCATATGATGTACAATGTATATCTTGAGCAATACTTTATTTGCAAGTTTTTCCTGAATAATTATTTTATTTCGAAAAATTACCCAAACATTTAAAGACTTTAAACGTTTCACATCGAAACAGCTGAAAATGGCACAAAATTGATTATCAAATTGATTCAGACTATTTTTTTCATTATCGTTTTGCATATTTTTGACTTCTTATTTGTCTCAATTAAATTTGCAAGAATATTAAAGTTAAAGTTTTTAAGCTTTTGTACCTAAGTTGAGCAATTTTATGGTTCAATTTTTTATAGATATAATGGTTATAGGATTATTTTGGTCTATTATTACTTGCATTTGACTTTGCATGGATTTTACTTAAACATGTCACAATCGGTACTAGTCATGTCCTCATTAAATCTTAGACTATTTAAATCTAAGAAATAACCATCGATCTTTCGTTACTAATAGTGGTATTATGCTGATTTTTTTATATTTAAGTTGAGCTGAATTGACAATCATTTCAAGACATTGACTGATGTGAAAAATGTTTAGGAAGAAACTAAATCTGCTTAAAACAAACTTGCGCCATAATTTGATTTCCATAAAATTTCCTTGGGGCACGTGTGTTAACCATTCATGCAAAGTAAATTACAAAAATAAAAGTAATAATGGCAAAAGGTCATCTTATTTTGCAATTTCCTCTTTCAACGCGCTATAACCTTTTGAGTGGCATATTTTTTCATCAAACCAGAACAAATGCACAATAAATCCATAATAAATTGTGTTCAAATAAAAAAAGCGTTGCAGCAAAATCTATCATATTCCAAATAAAAAAAAATTGTTTTTCTTGACATACCTGGTTATGTACGTCTTGAGCTTCTTCTTGCGCATTGTAGGTGTTGGGCGGTGTTTTTGTGCCTTTTTAACAAACTTATCGGCATTTATAAGACCAAAACCAAACACTCCGTGAACTATAGATATAATAGAATAAAAAACAATACACATATGTACAACGAAAGACAGCTGACTACCGCTTATTTATTTTTTTTTCTGGCAGCTTTGCAGTTCCAACATCATAAATAAATAAATAATCTTAATATTCTAGTTAACAAATTTCATATTTCTATGCTCTATGCTTTTGATTAATATGAACGCAAATTGTATCGAACCAAGATGCAATTTCAGATTACATTAACAAAATGTAAAGTTTGAAAGAAATTCGTGTATCAACGAATGTAGACTACAGATTATAGTTTGTAGACAAGACCCTCTCATTTGTATCTAGTCACAAGGCATTTTGGTTTAAGGTGTACGTGTTGGTCCATTTTTGTCCGTCTAAGGCAACTTTGACAGTCAAAGAAATGTGACTGTGATGAAATCTCATGCACTGGGTTTTTGTTTAATGCCTGTAGTATAAAACAAACAAGCACTAATAGCATAATCAATTCAACTGTTATACATGTATATTGATGTGAAAGTAAGCATAAAGAAAATCTTACAGTATCTTCCAGCTGCATTCCTTGTAAATGCGATCCTCTCTCGTAGCTGTCTGTGTTCAGAAGACTGAACAAGAAGATGTTGGATATCCCTTAATGACAGTTCTTTACTGGAGAAAAATATCTGTACATTATATCTAAACAAATGGCAAAATTAATTTTTTCTTTTAATTAATGAATCAATTTACAATATTTATGTATTTCAAAACATACTTTTTGTTAGGACATTGCTGCTGAAGGTGACGAGGACTTTAAATGTTTTACTTTTAGTAAAAGAAATCCACGTTGATGACATTGACTTTCTACACACCAAAATGGATATGATTATTTGACATGTAATATGTTATTTTGCACACAATTAATCATTCTTTTCAAACACTCTTTATTTATCTTCTGAATTAATATTTGATAAGGTAACCAGACTAGTTTCATTTGTTAACAGGTCATTATGTATTTAATTTTGACATAATGTTACCAGTATGTTTTTTGTTATTTTAAGGAATTGGATTGTAACTCTTACTTAGCTTGGAGGCCCAGTCCTATAATCCCCGCTATTTGGGCTGTGGCAGCAGAGATCCCGTTAAACCCAGTTATACATCTGTCTTCCAAAGTTGTAGTAACCTAAAGTATTTACAAGTATACACGTATCAAAAAAATACGACTGTACTAAACCTTTATTCAGTGATAATATTGAATTCATTGAAATCAATGAAATGAGACATAGTTGTTATCTTATTGCGAAATGAACTTTCTGGCATTTCAACTACAAGTTTTACAGTAGAAGTATAAAACTATTACCATTGACGAAGATGTGAGATTATTTCCTTCACCAAGTCCAGACGTCAATACACTGGCGTCTGTATAAACGTATTCCATAATTATTCCATTTCTACCGACACTGGACACTGTGATTGTGTGAATATTGTTTGAAAGCTCGCTTCCTATCAAAAAATACGACTGTACTAAACCTTTATTCAGTGATAATATTGAATTCATTGAAATCAATAAAATGAGACATAGTAAATATCTTAATGCGAAATGAACTTTCTGGCATTTCAACTACAAGTTTTACAGTAGAAGTATAAAACTATTACCATTGAGGAAGATGTGAGATTATTTCCTTCACCAAGTCCAGACGTCAATACACTGGCGTCTGTATAAACGTATTCCATAATTATTCCATTTCTACCGACACTGGACACTGTGATTGTGTGAATATTGTTTGAAAGCTCGCTTCCTGTAGGACCTGATGGCATAACATGGATAGTACCTAGACCGTGACGACCCTTAAAATGAAGACTATTTATAAGTACTTTATTTTAAGATATTACTTATAACGATGAGCAATTTTGAAAACCGAAATGAGAACTCAGTTAAAACGGTAACTTTAGTTTTCATACATGCATTGGAAGGTATAATAGTCGGCTAAAACTTTCAAGCAGTTTCAAGAACTGCAAACATTGATGAATATTTTCATTCAATTTATGCCTAGACAATCCTGTTGTTGTAAAGAGATAGCTGCCAAGAAGTTAAAAGCATAATATCTAGAATATAGGATCCCTGTGATATTGTTTTCAAAGACATAATTATGAAAGATTTGTCTATAAACTCACGTGTGTTGCCCCATGACTTATCACATCTTTTGTTGCTACATCAAGTTTGTCAAATGGCATAACAGGTGCCCATGCATTGGCAAATATGTCAGTAGTGTTAAGGTTGTAGTTTAGCGCCCTTGAAATAACGTCTGAGTGTGACCAGTGCCTTGGTTCTAGTTCAAGGAAAGTAGACCCGAGAAGGATCACCTTGAATATCTTCAGTGCTAGCGAAAAGTATGAACAAAACAATACAGTGGGACAAATATTCAAAATAGGTCTGATGTTAATAAGTGTAACAACAATACGGTAATCACAGAAAAGTCATTGACCGATAAGCATGACACAAAACTCGGAAGCAATTTTAACATGACCATTTGAGTTGAATCGCGTGATTGAATTATATCAATTTACGTGTTGACAATCAGAAATGAATAATATTGAATTTCCATTTCGTTATGGACTTAATCAAAAATGAATCAAATTAATCAAATAAACAAAAAGATCAAACATGTGATTGAGATTGAAAACTACTTTGTGAAGATATGTGGTACAACACTGACTGTACAATCTTTTTACATCATTGCAAAAAGTAAAAAAAAACAACAACAAATTGCGCTTTACGATATCACGGTGCATGTATTCATATATATTTGAGTATATTGAAGACATCAGTTACCTATAATGGTAGCGTTGTAAGCTATTCCTGAGCTACATCTATTATTACCTTTAGTAGCACCTATAATACTTGCCATCCTGTTACCATGACTAAAATCATGCAAAAGCCACGTTAAAACAGCAGCACGAACGAACAATAACATATTAATCACATCTACTTAAATAATGGACTTCTATGTAATTGAAATAACTAAAAAGAGTTGTATAAGATTTTGAAAAAAATAAAAGAGTTGCATTAAATGATACAGATTTGTATTGAAGATTTATTAAACATGCTTGTCTATTTATATAAAACTAGTACTTGGAAGGATGGATCTAAAATCTACAGGATGCTTGATATAGTCTAAAATTAAATGAAAAGCCGGTGCTTATATTTGTTTTAAAGGCTGGCAAAAGTTTAGAAAAATACATTTGGCAATAACTATTCATTTTCAATTCACAAAGTAATAGATCTGATTAAAGCTAGAAATATAGAGCCATACATAGTAACATTATTTCAATGTAAAAAACAACCAATCATATAGCTTTGATCAAATAGAATTACGATAATTTGTACATACTCTGTTAAAAAAGCTGCTTTTTCACCAATGTTGTAAAAAAATTCTGGAGTTACATTATGGTTGTTGTCCACAAAGTTGAAACTAAGGGTTTCATTCTTAAAAAGAAAACGTTTTTAAACAAACTTAACATACAAAACGTAGAGGAGAAAATAACAAAGAAGTGCAAAATTATTTGAAGGTGAAACGTGAGCAATTGAAAATAAATAAAGATATATATGAAAAATTAGAAATTAAAACAAAGGCAACTATTTAAATAAAAAAGGGATACAACGGAGTGAACACACTGAGATCACGTTCCATTATAAATTGTAGAGAATCATAAGGTGACAATACTCAAAACCTGCAAAAAGTTTTTAAGTGATGTGATAAGCAAGCGCGGGGTAGGTGAGTGCAAATCGGTATAAGCGAATAACAAAAAAAAGGAGAATGGATAAAGTGTTCACTAATAAACAAAAAGTTTGAACAAAAGTGACAGTTTGCTACCAAATTTTGTTTCAAATCAAGAAGATTGGTGTTTATTCCGACATCTGTTATTGCAATTGTGACTCCACTTCCGGTAAACCCACGTGACCACGCTTTCTCAACGCCCATTCCATAGTATTGGCCACAGACAAGGTTTGTCTGAAAAGTTGATTCATTGAAAATATAGCATGAAAATGTATACAAAAAATATAACCACAGGTAGATCAAAATCTAAACAGGTATGCATTGTATATTGCTTGTTTTTCGATAAAGATTAAATAATTATTCTTAAAGAATACGCATGACTATTTAACTTTGCTATAATTTTTAACTAAAAATGGACATATATAAGGTGCAAAATATTTATCAATTATTTTGCGAAAAGCTGTTGAGTTCTACCAAATGGATCTGAAGTATTCTTATTGTTAAACAAAGATGTTTAACATTAATTTCAAAGAAATTGTTCAAAAGCAAAAATAATATCAATCTTTTTTAATTCGTTTACAACCCCCACTTTTTTAGATTTTTTTATCAAGCTCAAACAAATGGTTCTGTCAATGCTAAATTGCAGTGCTTTCAACTATGTTAACTTGGTCTTACATAAATTTCGTGCGGTTTTACACGTTGGTAACCTTCTCTGTCTGTGGCCACTGGCTTTAAAGTATCAGCATATTCTCTTGCAGGCACCAACTTCAAAATCTGATAAACAAGCATAAATGTGTCTTTATTGAAAATAAACAAGTACAGATTTTGGCTTGTAAACTTAAATCTGATGAAATAAATTTACCATTAAAATTTATTTCCATTGTAGGAACTCAACATTTGGTGAAATAAAACTTAATACGCGGCTAGCTCAAACACGAAAATAACCGAAGGTTACAGAATGGTCTGCAGCAATGTAAACTGTAGCTAAAGAAATATTCACAGCATGAGCAGACAGAAATGAAACTAAAATCAAGTGACAGGGTAAATTCTTCTTCTTCTTTTTCACTTACTGTATATCCGACTACAACAAATTATTCTGTTGACAACTCTTGCCTAGAATGTTTAAAAACTGTAAACTAAACTGATTGGTCAGTTTATTTAAATGTGATCCAGTAGCTGAATTAACAACTCAGTGACCAATGAAATAATTTGTTACTTTGTTAAACAAAATTAATATATAGACTTTTTCTACAGGAAAAACATGTACAGTGTAAAAGGAATAAAAGGATATTATTTTTATTGATTTACTTGCAAAAGCATAACTATAGTGTTTATTATGAATGCTTATTTTTGCCTGCGCATGCTATTGAGAGTTCTTCAGTCATAGTTTACCTTGATGTAAGCATGGTTTATATTTCCATCAACGGCCTGTGGTTTTTTTTGAGCTGAAGTTGAAGTTTAGTGCGTGCCCGTGCCCGCGTGCGTGTGTGCATGTGCCTGTGTGTTTGTTTACTCTGCCATTAATAGGGTTTATGATAGATTTTTGTTATTTATTTATCTAATTTTAGCAGTCAAACATTTCTGAAAACGAAAATTGGATTTCGTTGTTTGTTTGAAGTTCATATCCTTGTCTTTATATGGAGTATATATACCTAATAGTTTTACAATTCCCCTTGGGAAATTCTGTTCAACATGTAGCATTAATATAAGCAAAAGCGCACGTTCAAAACGTGAATTTTTCCTGGAACCTAAACCATTATCAGTCAAACATAATGAAATGCCAGTTAAATTCAAATCGTTTTATTTTCATGTTAATATATACCTTGTTATTGTATAATCTTTTCAGCTGTTTAAGTGTCTTTCGTAAAGCGGCGTTTCGTCTAGAGCCTGTGTAACTCAATAAATACGTCGACGGTGTAAGCTATAAATAGGAACAATCACAATAAAGGTTAAATTCAATGATTACGTCAGCTTGATTACGGTTAAATTCAAATTTGACTGTTGTCTTTGTTATTGTTCTTCTAAATCGTCGCCAAAAAGTAACTATAGATTGTTATAACTTTATCCTCAAATTTGTATTGACTGTTGTTAATTGGAACTAGATGTTCTTCTTTAATAAAAGGTTTTCAATCATGTCAAAATTTACAGATAGCATAAGATTTTTTTTATTATAATTATCAAAATAAAACGGGAATAAAAAAAACGTTTTCTAGGCTTCAATTAAAAAAAAACCAACTTTATTATGTTGATTATACAAAAGAAGAATTATTTTTAGAATGCTGCGCAATTAAGGGTGTATATACTTTTGTGTATAAAAGGTAATAAACCCAAATACATTGTAATTTGATATTGTTCTATTATCTTAAAATATAAAAGGTCGAAATATAAACCTATGTATTAATGTTCTCAAAGAAACAAAAAAATATTCACACTGAGAGTATAAATAAATGTCAGAGGACAATGTTGTTTAACTAATTCTATTTAAAAAGACAACTTGCCTGCTCAAATTGCGTCACGTTAAAAAAACAATAAATTCTTCAGTAAGTCTTTATTATCTCCAGGCTTTTTTACTTTTAGCACAAGTTTCACGTCTGGCTTATAACTAATGTCTCCCACATTTACATATACGAATATAATCAAAAGGAAAATTAATTTCAAAATTGTTATCGTCTCCATTTCTAGATTTTTCCTTTTTTATAAAAATAGAACCTTACGTGTCGGATATTTTAAATTGTTATTTGTTTCGCTCTAAATATAGCATCAGGAAGTTTAAAACTTTGGCAATGTGCGTAAAACAAAATGAGACAATAGGGAATAAAATAACTTATCTTTAAATATCGTATCCATATAAATAAATCTATCAAGGTGGTTTAACATACATTAGGTATGGGCATATATGTCAGTAAAAATTGAAGTAATAGAAGAAAAAAATATGTCGGGAAGGGTGTGTTAGAGAAAGATAAGTGTATATTGTAGAGGAAAGGAAAAGTAAGTGTATATGTTGACATGGAACAACTATATTCCTTTTGAATGAAGTGATCCCCAGTATTACTTTTTTCAATTCATTTTTCAAATCTATTTTTAACTAAAGACAGACACATGACATATTTTTATTTACAATCAGGTTTTACATATACTGCAGATTATAAGATATGTTTCTCTTGCTTAAAGGGCTACAGAATCATGTCAATATTTAACTATAAAGGATGACATACCCTTATGATTCCGTAATGTCTGCTTATGTCAGGAAAAATCGTCGCTGATCCTTCAGTCACGGTTTCATAAAATGATAAAACACATATATTTTAAGTAAAGTTGAAGTAAAGAGTTTTAGTTAGAAGGTTATTATACACAGCAGTACAATGTTCAAAGCCCTTAAACTGAGCATAATTTTACGGAGATTTTTGCGTGGCGTGTTCATTTGTTTTAACCTGAGATTTATATTTTCTTCATATAAAGTGTAAACACTTTCGAAACAAACTCCATTTTCTGCATCCAACCGTTAAAACACCATTGATCTTATTTCTTTGCGGATTCGTTTTGTATTAATTTGTAGAATCTTCTTATAGAAATATAACCTCTGGGAGGACTTTGCGTGGCATGGTTGTTTTTGGACCGACATTTTCTTCTCTCTATATATAAATGAGCCGCGTCATGACAAAACCAACATAATGGGTTTGCGACCACATGGATCCAGACCAGCCTGGGCATCCGCGCAGTCTGATCAATATCCATTCTGTTCGCTTACAAAGTCTATAACAAGTAGAGAAACTGATAGCGAACAGTATGGATCCTGATTAGACTGCGCGGATGCGCAAACTGGTCTGGATCCATGCTGGTCGCGAACACATTATGTTGGTTTTGTCGTGACACGGCTCAAATGTAAAGATTTTCGTAAAAAGCACAATTTTCTCAAGAAACACAATTTGTTTGATTCCGTTACGGTTTCGTTCTTGTATCAATTTGGAGGGTCTTCTTAAAATAAAACCCTAGCCCACGCAAAGCGTCCGGGACACCTCCACGTGGCATGGTCATTTTGTGAACCGGCGATTTGTCTTTTATGGATATAGTGTATATTTTTTTGCAAATAACACCATTTTCACGAGCCAGTCGTAAAAACACCATTTGTCTGATTCCGCTGCGAATTACTTTTTTATATCAATTGGAGGGTTTTTACAGAAATATAAGACACAAAGCCATACCTCAAGCAAAACGTCCAGGAGAACTCCGTGTGACATGGTCGTTTTTTTTAACCGGCGACTTGTTCTTTCTGTAGATATATATATAAAGTGTATGAATTTTCGTAAAAACACCTTTTTCTCGAGCCAACTGTTGAAATATCATTTGTCTGATTCCCTTGCAACTTCGTTTTTGTATCATTACAGAAATATAAAAGACACAAAGCCCTGGTGGAAAAAAAACGTCCGGATAAACTCCTTGAGGCATGGTCGTTTTTTGCACTCAGATTTTCTTCTTTCTGTACGTAAATTGTATAAATTTCGTAAAAACACCATTTGTCTGATTCTGTTGTGACTTCGTTTAAGTATCAATTTAAAGCGTATTCTTCACAGAAATATAAGGCCTAGCTCAAACAAAGTGACTGGGGTAACTCCGCCTGGCATGGACGTTTTTTAACAGGCGATGTGTTCCTTTTGTATATTAAGTGTATAAATTTTCGTAAAAAAAACATTTTTTCGAGCCAACCGTTAAAACCCTATTTAACTGATTCCGTTGCGACCTCGTTTTTTGTATTAATTTGGGGTGTTTTCTTTTAAAGAACTATAAGAAGCAAAGCCTTAGACCAAGCAAAACGTCCGGGAAAACTCCATGTCTCATTTTTTATTAGACAGGCGATTTGTTCTTAAATATGCACAAGCAACATTATTACAACTACATGTAATATCTGAATTTTATAGAATGATCACGAAAAGGTAGTCAAACATCGTTATCAAAATGGAACTAGGTATTCTGTAAAAAAAAAACAAAAAAAAACGCTGTAGTGCACTTACTGAAAATAATTTACGTCATGCCAAGTTTAGCCATGGTAAAATGAACTCTACGTAATAATCAATTTGGAAGGTCTTCTTTAAAGAAATATAAAACACTCTGTCCAAAACAAAACATCCGGGAGAACTCCGTGAGGCATCATCATTTTTGGACCAAAGGATTGGTCTTTCTGTATATAGTGTATGAAATTTCGTAACAAACAGCATTTCCTCCATCAAACCGTTAAAAAAAATAATTTGTTTGCATATCAGACACGATTATCTACCGTTTACACCGGTGCTAGAAAAACCTGTCTGATATGTAAGACAATTCGCGTGCCTTAAATGACGTCAGTGCCGCGCGACTTTTGTGAATGAATTGCGTCGTTAGGATGACGTCATTTTACCATTATGAATGAAGTTGTAAGTTCATATGCTACTATAAGAAAAAGTGCGCAAGTAGATTATCAGTTTTCGTAATTTCTGTTCTCAAAATAAATGATATGTAATATGCAAGAAAAAGCATCAAACACTGTCAGTACTGACGGGAATATCTAGCTCTCGGGTTACTGTTTAGCGGAAAATCGGCAGAGCCTTAAGATTCTGATAGTCTGATTCTATTGAGAGTTCGTATTTGTATCAATTTGGAGGGTTCGGTACAGAAATATTAGACAGAAAACCAAAGCCCGATCAAACCTCCGGGAGAACTATGCCTGGCAAGGTCGTTTCTTCGACCGACAATTTCTTCTCTCTGTAAATAAAGTGTCAACAAATCGTAAAAAGCACAAAAAGCGTGGCATGTTCGTGTTTTGAACAGGCGATTTGTTTTTTGTTTTTTAATACAAAATGCATACATAAAAACACCTTTTCTCGAAGCAACTGTTATACAGTCATATACTGTCATTACAGAAATCTTAGAAATAAGTCTTAGTTCAAGCAAAACGTCCGTTAGAACTTTGCGTGGCATGATCGTTTTATGAACCAGAGAATTGTTCTTTTGTATATAATGTGTATTAATTTTCGTAAAAAAAAACATTTTATCGAGTCAACCGTTAAAATAACATCGGCCTCATTCCGTTGTAAAGTTTTTGTTTCAATTAGGATGGTTTTCTTTTACTGAAATATGAGACACAAAAGCCTTAGCCCAAGCAAAACGTCCTGGAGATATCCGTGTTGCATTGTCGTTTATTTGGACAGACATCTTCTTTCTGTATAGAAAGTGTAATAATTTTCGTTACAAACACCATTTTCTCTATCCAACCATTAAAACACCATTTGTCTGGTTCTGTTGCGGTTTGGTTTTACCATTTGTTTGCAGGTTCATAATTAACAGCAATATAATGCCCAAAGACCTAACTTAAGCAAAATGCCTTGGGGATTTCTTGGGGCATTGTTGTTTAAGTGACCGGCGATTTGTTTGTTTTGTTTATAAAGTTTATAAATGTTCGTAAAAAGCATCACTTTATTTATCCTGCCGTTAATTACATTCGTCATTATCCATAACGAATTCGTTTTTGTTTCCATTTGTTTGAAAGTTTTGTAACAGCAAAGCCCAAAGATTTCCTTGTGGGTTACCAACGACTTTTTCGTTCTGTGTAACAAAATGTATAATTTTCGTAAAAATCACTTTTCCCCGACCCAACCGTTAAAACACTTATTATTTTATTCCGTTGCGTATTCGTTTATCCATTGGTTTGGAGGGACTGCTTTACTGCATGCAATATAATGCCCAACTACCCTAAACCAACCGATACGTCAGGGATATTACTGCATGGCATGGTCCTTTTTTCGGCGATCGGCGATTTTCTTTCTTCTGTAAATTGTAATGCAGTAGTTTTTCATTTGCTAATTACGAAATACTTTTCATAAAAAAATTATATGTTCTTGGTTATGTAATGAGTTACTTTGTTAAATTATTAAATTATTTAAACACAGAAATATGTGAATTATCAATCAGCCAGGCCGCTGACATGCTTATTGCAATTTACGCATCGAAAGTAACATAATGGATAAAAATATTCTGAAAATGAGATTTATTTTTTATAGTTTGTACATGGGAAAAGTTAAAGCAAGGAAGAACTTGTATAGATGCAGGGAAAACAAAAGACATATGGTTCAATGAAAACTAAAAAAATGTTTCATATGGTAACCATGTACAAAAAGCGGGGGAGGTGTTGGACAAATTTAATCCATTTTTCTAGAAAAAGTCTTTTTGAAGTGTGCAATTTGACTGAAACATAAAAGCTTTATGTAACAATTTCAAATGTTTAAGCCCCAAAAGAGCTCCTTCAGAATAATTAAATACACATATTTTAAACAGTTGTTAAAGTTCAAAATTCAATTGAAATCTCGTTTTTGAATTTTTTTAGATAGATCCAAAATATATGTGTTCAGTATCTCACTTAATAGAGAAATATTTTGCAAACAAACAACATGATAATACTGAAAATCAATATCATTTTTCTGTAAATAGTTCATTTGCGATGCATATTTGGGGCAAATAATAAAACAAATCAACAAAATATTAAAATTCGCCCCCAATGGATA